AGTGTGACATGTTGACCCCTCCCACCCCTCAGCGGTAACGTAACGCTCGCGGAATAGGCGAGTAATCACCCCGCATCCTGGCAGCCATGCGCGGTGACGTCACGAGCGGAGCCGAAGAGAGCCGAGCGGAGCCGAAGATAGCCGAGCCCCGTAACCTGGTAACTATGCAAGGCGAATCAACAGCGGTGACGTAACCGGACAGCGTGGCTACAAGGGTGCCTATTACGTGGCCGTTTTCCCGTATTGTCCGATCGAGGCTACATAGGGAGAAGCGAAGGCTATTCACAGCCAGTTCTAGTGTGGCTACCGCAGAGTTGTACTGAGTCAGTCAGCGAGTCCTGGACCTATCGTCGAGTTAGCCAGCAACCAGTCAGTTGTATTGTGGCATTTGGAGTGTACTATTTGTGATACTGCAGATAGCAGTAATCGTCAGATTGTAATTTGGGTGATTGTGAGAGCGGATGTGAAATAAAATTCGCTACATCGAATACGTCGAGAATTTATTTGTCGCGATATACCCCGCGATACGCGACAGTATATTATGTATATATGTATATATCAGTTAAAATATGTATGCATGTACGAGTATGTGTCAAAGACTGTGAGACAGAGCACAAAACTTCCAATAAAACTTGAATAAAATAAAATTCGTACAGGCCTCCAGTACCTTCGTCGAAGTCTATGAAGTGGTTTTGTAGATTAAATACGAACCAGGCACACAGACTCACCCATAAATCTCTCTGATTGTTATGGACACTAACCACACATCCATCAGTCCTCCTAACAAAAATGATTTACAGTGACACACAACATGCTTCAGCCACGTCATGCCGACCAATGACAAAAAGAGGAATTCAATAAAGCGCAATAATTTATTCTCGCAGTAGGTTAGTACAGTTCTTAAATTAAAATAGAAATCGAAAATTATATATATACAGGCGCGCAAATGTAGGTCAGACAGGCCCATGTGACGCAGCATCAGTGACACGACAATAATAATCAATCATTTGTTACATCTAAGTAAGATCTGTACCTTTTTTTTAATTCGCTTAGTAGAGGGTGGAGTCCAACTGGGTCCACTCGGCACGGCGGCCACTGATTGGCCTATTGTAACCTGCCCCGGGTGATTAAGATGATGGAAAATTTGATAGAATTAAGATTGGTAGGGGAAACCGAAGTAGTCGGAGAAAACCCGCCCCAGCGCCACTTTGTCCACCACAAATCCCACTTGACCAGACCCGGGATCGAGCCCTGGCCGCCGCGGTGGGTAGCCAGCAAAACCTAGGTCTATAAAAATAACCTCGCAGGATCATTCCAAGTAGGAAAGGATAGCAATATAGCGGTTGATCCTTGTTGTGACCTTGCGATCAGGATTCTACGCTCTTTGTTTTGTCAGCAATCCTTTAATGACATATTGCATGTTAACTGTTGTAACCGCACCATTGAAATCCTTCCCCTTCCCATTTTTTTTTATTTCAGTAGCTGATAGAGTAGACAATAGGAATTATGAAGAAACAAAGGTTTAAGACACAATGTCAGAACAAGGAGTAGGCGATGAGCAGATAGACCAAACTTGCGTGGACAAGGACATCTGCTAGTCCTTGCGTCCAAGCATCTGGTGTTATTTTCCAGAAGGGCAGGAATGGTACTTCAAGAAAACCCATTGAGTTTCTTTAGAAATTGAGAATTTGACTTACAGCGGCAAGCCACTTTGAGAATTCGAGAAGTTACAGTTTCTACCAGCCTTAAGTCAAAAGTGGGAGTGCCAGGAGATCATTAGCGACCCCTCATAAGTTGCATCGCTGTCAATTTCGCCGTTTGGTTTTTAGGGCGAAATTCCCTTAAAAACAATCGGTCATTGGCCGGAACCAAAATTAAGCCCGATCCACTTATTTGAATCAGCCTATCCGAGAAATTAGGAGGAGAGGAGAATAGGCGGATACAACTCAGTTAGGACCTCTGGCTCGGCAGAGAGTCCAGTCTAAGATTTTTAGTCGTCTATCAAACTTCAGTACTTGGCGGAGGCAAACCCCGCATCGCAGGCGCTAAAGGAAATTTCTAAGTATAAAATTTTGCTCATAACGACGCATATATTGATTTGGCTTAATCCCTAAGCGGACGGTTGTAAGTTGAGCTTGTCGAGTGCAATTTGTGCAAGTGTAACACCAGCTGCTTGAAAGCCGAAACTAAATCAAATTGTGTGAATTTATACAGCCGACTGCCTTTAAGAAGAGCAATAAATTGTTGTAGTGGTACAGTGAATTGTGTTGGTTAGAGGTGCTTCACCCTCACTTGTCCGAGCCTGACCCGTAGCCGACCTGAGGAGAGACTCATCTCCACTAGCTAGTCAAACCCATCGCCAGCTTTCACCTACTCACGCCTTCCCCCCTTTACAATGAATCGCAAACAGTCTCTAGAAGTTTGCTGGCGCCCATACCATCAGGTCCCATCCTAAAATCCAAACCCCCTGTAATCTCGACGTAAGGAAGAAGCGGTGGAACCGGAAGAAGCGGTGGAGCCTGGTCAAGCCGAAACCAGCCACGGTCTAGCAACTTCAGCAGCAGCATCACCAGAGGAAGGACGGTTAAAGGTGGCGACAAACTTGTGGGGGCTTGAAGCCTCAAAGGAGAAGCCGGTTAAAAGTGAGGCCAAACGTGTAGGCGAACGTGACGACGGTTAAACTGTGAAAAATATGCACGAAAGTCTTCGATATTTCGTTGTCATTTACCACATTTTCATCTTGTAGATGGTGGCAGAAGTTTTTGCTACGGATTCCGAGTTCACATGTTTCTATTTTGAAGAAGGCTTTCCGGATTTAGCAGATATAGTTCATCATGTTACATTGGAGCATCCTGTCACACATCACTCAATATTCAAGTCGCTGATTCAACCGTCTTACGTGTAAGATATTTTTATAAAAGTTATTTCAAAGTTTCTCTGCAACGTATTATATGTTCTGGTCAACACTGATCATCAGGTGTTCAAAATTGTTGATGGAAGTTTCTCTGTTTCCGTTTTGTATTTTTCAATACTTGATAAGTATCTGTAACATTTATTAATATCCTATGTCATCATTTTTGTATGTAATGCGTGTGAATGTTCCATAAGTTTACTTGTTTATGTACTTACCCCAAGGTGACCGGTGGTTCCTACTGTGTTGTGTTGTTTATCAATGGAGCGCCTGCTAATATATTTTCCTTTTCGAAGGCGATCCTACTGTACCTTACGCTACTCTGTAAGAGAAGCGGTCTGCCGTTTTTCACGTCAGTATCAATTAGCATTTAAAGTTTATCTACAAAATATTCTCTGCAGGTTTCTTGATTGTTAGATCCAATAAGTGCCACGTTGCATAGAAGGGGTTCCAAATATCCCTTGCTCTTCTGAGCTTCTCGGTCGGGCTCAGATGTAACTAATCCGCCTCTTCTTTGTAATACATTTTCAGCAATCTTACCGTGAGTATACGAAACAACTACTGGCCTCATGATTCCAGGTAAAATAATTTGCACACTTCTTAGTTGTCATTTCCCTTGAAGCACTTACATAGCTGCACATGGTTTAGCCTTCAGCATTAGCTAGCACAAAGCATGCTAAGTCGTGTGCGAATCCGAAATTCGCAAAACCCTTTTCTTTTTTTGGATTTTAGGTTTCCAGTTGTGGGAAAAATCTCACTTCGCTGTGGTATTATCAACAAAATCTCTTACCTATATATACACGTCTCCATATAGTGGAAAAATAATTTAAGAGAAACTTCCATTTGCGTCTAGGGAATGCTCTAACATAGTAGGGTGTGTTTCACTTGCTGTTTGTGGAATGAAACCACCTCCACTTAACAGCAGTACGTAGTGTATTCTGCATGTCGACTGCTATTCGGCGGGTATCCTCCTCCTCGGCTCCTCTCTATACCAAGGGGGTAGCAGGCGGCGGCCCGAAGATAATTCTCAGAAAACTACAACTCGGCATTGTTGTCTATATTTCAAATGACAATGGTGAGCCACAAAAAAATCATGTGCTTGCATTAAATACTTTCTCAAAACAAGGACTTCCCGCTAACGAAGGTTATTAATTGGGAGACGGCCCGTGGAGGGATGTGTGAGTATGAATTTGCTTTTTGTCTTTCGTACGTCATAGCAGTTTTGCGTACTTCCACATATGGTGCCCCTTTTCCAAACTGTCATCCGAAAGCTGAAAATGTGTCTTAATTCACTGTTTCAGTGGAGAAAGGGGGGAACGAGATGTACATTTGTGAAAAATACGAAGGAAAGGAAGAAGTGAAAGATGAAGATATGATATTTTTTTTATTGCTAGTGGGGTGGGACTAAGTCCCTTGAACTTCGGCCGGTTCTGGCCTATTGTACCAGCCCCAGATGATAGGTGAGGGTGATTGTGGAGCAGTTGGTGGAATGAAGATTGGCAGGGGAGACCGAAGTACTCGAAGAAAACCTGCCCCAGCGCCACTTTAGGTCCACCACAGATCCCACTTGACCAGAACCGGGATCGAACCCGGGGCGCTGCTGTGGGAAGCCAGCGACTAACCGCTTAAGCTATGGCGAGGCCGGCGCGTTAATTTGAAGATGTGATTGTTGTGGTTGCTCTGTGCCTGGGACGGTACATTACCCGCAACCTGGTAGCAAAAAGTGGAAGTTACATTAATCGAAGGCAGTAGTACACGCGATTAATCGATAACCAGTAATTGTACGGGTCGTAGGTGTTTTTGCCGGTAGATTGATTACAATTTTCGAGCACATGTTTCATAATAAGTGTCTTTTGTGTTTACGATTAGCAGGGAGGTCAGTTCTATTCAGACGAAAGAGCACATATTTTATAACCACCCCAATATTTTATGTGAATGCCCGTAAGTTTAAATATCTGTAACATAATGCATGTAACCTACCATATATTTATTTAACATGAACCTCACCTAAATGGATTACACCTGCTTTTGAAATCCAACTTGGAGATTAGCCACAATACTTTTTCATAAAGTAATGATAGGATCAGTAATTGAACCAAGCCTGATGTTATGTACAATTAGTGGGAGCCTGACAATAAAAATTCATTCATACCAATCACAATTAGTTTTTTTCTTTGTATTTTATAGTGTGAAGAGAAATTTGGAATAGCCTAGTCACTTCAAAGTTATGACAGGTGTTGCATATGACTGGATAAAATTTATATTTAGGTTATGTTTCACAAAATTACGTTACAATTATTGAACAGTTTTGTCAAATACACAGTTTGTTTTAACTGTGGTTACTGAAAGGCACAACTGGAGGTAATAAAATGATGCTCTAGTAAAGACAAGTTCATGAATGTTTTATCGAAATGTGTACTGTGTTCATCAATCTTCTGTTGCAAGCCCCACACATTGGCCATGTGTACACTGCAGTTATTGCTGATGCAGCACATCGTTTCCAAATGCTTTTGGGTTGTCAGGAGACAGTGTTTAGTACAGGAACTGATGAACATGGAACAAAAATTCAGGAAGCAGCTCTTCAGTCTGGATCCCCATTGCCACAGTATTGTGATCATATTTCTCTGCAGTATCGAACACTTTTCCAGTCATGTAACATTGATTATACGGATTTTGTGCGGACAACTGAAGATCGTCATAAATCAGAAGTTCACAAATTCTGGGTAAGGAACATGTCTTTAATTTTTCTGTCTCCTTAGTGTTTTAAATGTAAATGTAAATATCTACATTCTTGTAGTTTATCCCAGTGCAAGTTCCAGCATTTTGTCTTGCACTCTCTTCTTTCTCTTTGCTCCCTTTCACATCTGAATGCTAAGCAGAGTTCCTCTGTATGCAAACAAACCTAAATTCAGTTATCCAGTTTTCACTTTATGTTTTCATGTACTCTGAAACTAACTTAATTGCATGCTGATTGTGCACTGTGTTTTGTCTGTGAATAAATAGAGGAAATTCTGTTATGCTTAACTGTAAGAGCAAGGCAACCTATGTACTATAAGAATTAAGGAGGTTACTCATTAACATATACAGAACAGGGTTCAATAAATGCATGTTTTGTTAACAGAATGTTTTGCAGGCTGGAGGACACATATATTTGGGAACATACTCAGGATGGTATTGCACCCCAGATGAGACATTCCTTTCAGAGAATCAGCTGGCAGAACGTCAAGGGCCAGATGGCTGTACATACAAAGTTTCCGCTGAGTCGGGCCATCCTGTGGAGTGGACAAATGAGGAGAACTTCATGTTTAAACTGAGTTCCTTCCAAGACGATCTTTTGCGCTGGCTGCAGAATGGTGAGAGTCCCAGTGTTTAAAGTGGAATTTAATTTCATATGAAATATTCCTTATATATTGCCACTTGTGTTGTAGCAAGTCTGACATCATGTATTTCCTACAAAGTTATATTCCAGTCTAATATCAGTAAGATTTTGAACTTGAATTTTTATCATATTTTTATTAATAAAATTAAGAGCTTCTGCCATATAGTAACTTGGAGTACAAATTCCCTACCAAATTCAGTAGTTCAAGTAGTAAATATAATTTTGTAACTTAATTTCACAATGTATTAGTCATCATTTTCAGATGCACATTGCTATCAGCATGTACATTGTTGCTAGGCAGTGCATGAACCAATGGGCGTTGGAGCTGCTGAGCTCTGCGCTGATTGTCTAGTGCTTGATTCCATGTGGGTGGTTCCCACAGTTAAGAGTTATGGCTGTAATGCCACTGAAAATGATGATATTCAGTGTGAGAACAGTGTGGGTATTGTGACTGGAGATTGAGTTGATTGCAGTTACATACATGACACTTGGGCAGGTAGTGTCAGTGGTTGGTGCAAGATCACTTTTAAAAGTTTTCATGTACCATTCTAAAAAAAGAATACTTCAGACACCAAAATTTACAGTTATGAAATAATGGATTATTTCAAATAATCTTTTGAACTGTCATGCATCAAGAATTGCATATATGGGAAAAGCAAAAGTTGAGCCCCCTTTATAGCATTCAGATGCATTTCAAAGTTTTTACTGATCATGGGACTGAATACAGTAAGCTGAATTAAAGAATACTGGTCAGAGTGGTCAGTTGATGAAATGTTCTTTCTCAAAACTGTGTGTTTTTACAGACATCATTTTTTTGCAGATACCTGGACTATTGCATTTATGTGCAATGCCCGTATAATGTCAGCTCAGTATTTTCCTGGAGCAGTGGTTCCCAAACCATTGTTCCACAAACTTACTGCTTAAAAATTCAAAATATGCCAACCCAGCAGTACCTCTTTCAGCAGTTTCTGTCCTATATATCCCTTTGCTTCTTTCCAGGCAGGTGCTAACCTGGTTGTCCCCTCAGATTGAAAGGAACAGGGCAATGCTACAGTTAAATAACACAAATGTAGCTACATTTGAGCAGTTCAGTTCAAACAGACTACAAGAAAAAACTGATCAGTAACACCCATACACTGATTTTCTAATAATTTCCAATAAAATAATAATTGCCATTAAGAACATTTTTGACAAAACCCCTAGAACTGTTTTGCCCACAGTGAATAGTTGTGCAAACCATGACTTAAGAGTACCTGACCTTGAGGAACTCAGACAGTATTGGGAGAAAATCAAATAATTCACTTATTTATTCCTCTTAGTTATTATTCGCCTCACATGCAACTTGCTTTTAAAAACCTTTAGAAGTTTTAAAAGTTAAAATCTTTTCTGCATCACTTGTGTATGCACACTACATGTTTCGACCAACATTGACCATCTTCAGGTGTCTCTAAAATTGCTGATGAAACTGCCGTGTTTCTGTCTGTAAATTCTATTTTTGGGATATGCCCTCATCTACATGCCCACATGTCCAATGGTAATGGGTAGTTCCTCTTATTGTGTCATATGTAGCTGTTATGAATATTGGTCAAAACATGTAGCATGCATACACCAATGGTGTGGAAGTGATTTTAACGTTTTAAACTTGTAAAGGTTTTAAAAAGCAAGTTGCATGTGAGATGGATAATAGCTAAGAGGAATAAGTAAGTGATGTGCAGCAGGATGCTACTATACAATAATATAAATAATTCACATTTGTGTAATTCTGAAGTTGGGGCCACGGCATAGCTCAAGTGGTTAATTGCTGGCTTCCCACTGCGGCAGCCCGGGTTCGATCCCGGGTCTGGTCAAGTGGGATTTGTGGTGGACAAAGTGGTGCTGGGTCAGGTTTTCTCAGAGTACTTCGGTTTCCCCTGCCAATCTTCATTCCACCAGTTGCTCCACAATCACCCTCACCTATCATCTGGGGCTGGTACAGTAGGCCAGAAGTGGCCGCAGTGCAAGGGACTTAGTCCCATCCCACTAGGAATAAAAAAATTCTGAAGTTTATAATTTTTTTATTCTCTGAATTTTTAAGTAAAAGTGTTTCACCAAGCACTGTTCTTCTGCCAGTTCCATCAGTCCCTTGTGCAGCTGGCCAAACATAACAGAGTTCAGCTGAAATGGGTGCCAGGCCATGAGAGTATTGCTGGTAATGAAACCGCAGATCAGCTGGCAAGAACAAGATCTGAACATCCGTTCATAGGACCCAAACCAAACTTTCGGCATCTCAATTGGAGTTTCCAAGAAAGCAATCAGGGACTGGACAAGCAGAAATCACGAAAACATTGGGAATCCATAACTGGACTCAGACATTAGGCACTTATATTAGGGCCCTCTGCCAGAAGAACAAAGGACCAACTAGGCCCCTCTGCCTAAGAATGAAGGATTTGCTAGGGTTTTCTGGCAGAAGAATGAAGGATCTGTTGAAACTGAACAGAGAACAATTAAGATGGGTGCTATGACTATCTACAGGACACTGTCATCTAAAAGGACACATTTTCAAACTGATATTGACAGATGACTCCACTTATGAAAGGTTCCTAGAAGTACATGAATCAGCCATAATGACCTAAGTGATTGTGAGGCCATAGCGTATTTAAGATTTTGTCACATGGGCCAGTTTTTTATTGAAGCAAGAGACTACCATGACACCCACATAAACAAAGTCCTACATTTCATTCAAAGTGTAGGATTAATAAAGGGTTAATCAAAGGGGAAGCACAATAGATCATTGAAGGTCATGGTGTAAGGGGCCAGATTTTTTGGCCCACCGCTCATTCATTCATTCATTCATTCATTCATTCAGTTGTCAGGCTGTATTATTGATTGTACCAATGAATTTCTTCATATTATTACAAATAGTCTCAAATCTGATAATTTTTTCTTGGGATACCAACACATTATTTCTCTTTGTTGCTTATGTAGATGAATCAGTGCATCCAGCAAAATTTCGACGTCAGCTGATAGACTTTGTGTCAAATGATGATCTTCTGCATGATGTGTCTGTGTCCCGCCCAAAGGACCGTGTGCACTGGGGAATTCCTGTGCCAGATGCACCTCATCAAACCATATACGTGTGGCTGGATGCTTTGGTCAGCTATGTCACTGTTGCTCAATCAAAACTGTGGCCTCCAGATCTTCAAGTCATTGGCAAAGATATCCTGAAGTAAGGAAAAGTTTTCTCGTCTGTACTTTCAGTAAATACCAAAGAAGAACCATAATCGTTGAAATAAAAGAAACATGGCCAACTTAACAATACACAAATACATGTACAAAGTGAAGTGAGCATCCTTGTATACATCAAAATGTTACTTGAAAACAGTTTCTTTGACCTACGGAACACACTTGTTACAATGGTTACTATAAAATATGTACTCATTATCATCATGGTTGCAGTGCTTTGCTTATGGAGGAAAAAACAGATAGAGGGTTTGACATAGACTTTAACCCATAAAAATTTTCTCAATGTAGTTTCTTCATGAGGAACATTTTTGTATTTATCAGTTTTTCTTTTACACACCGATTTGGAGAAACAGTGGAATGGACAGACATTTGGCTGTTTTATACAGAATGGGTCGTAGTTCTGTGACGAAACTTTCAGAGGTAGCTGGAGAGATAATTTGGAGCAGAAAATGCAAATAAGTTATTTGACTCATCACTCTTGTTTAATTTTGACATTCCACTACGCTCTTAATTCAAATATCTGACCTATAGTGATAACGTCTAAGAAACACAAGCATACTAAAAATTAGACCCATAAGGTTGAAAAAAATTGTTTAAATTTAATATTTTGCAATAATATCCTTACCTAATCCTTCCAGCCACACTGTGGCCCTGGGGTCGATTCAGCCTCTAACAGAATGATTACCAGGAATATTCTTGGGGGTAAAGGGCGGCCGGCGCATAAGGCTGACAACCATACCACCATTTATGAACCAGTTGTCTAGAAAATGTGGGAACCTCAACATCTCACATCCCTATGGGCCTCCACGGTCTGTTACAGGGATAGTTTTTTTATCCACCAAAGTGATAAAAATTCAAATCTTTTCTGAAATAATGGAGAAAACGGTGTAGTGCCAGAGGCATATCTTCCGGGATATAACGCTATGCATGCCATTGACAGTCAACTGACATTTCATAAGAGTGTATCACCTCCATCTCCAGTGTCAAGAAATAGGCCAAGCAAGAAACCAGCATGAAGCAGGTAGCAAGGTATTCCTTTGACATGTCAGTTTAATTTCAATGGACTACATAGCATTATATCCCAGATTTATGACTCTTTCATAACCAATGCTGTGAGGACCTCAGATCCTTCACAGTAGTGCCAGGTTGATGGTGGTTAAAATTCAGCCACTAAAGGTTCACTAGATTCTATCCATACTACATACTGTCATTGAGTCAAATTCATTCCATACTTTTGTAAGGTATGTACTAATTTTTTTTAATTCACATAGTGGGGGGTGGAGTCCAGTCGGGTTCATTCGGCACGGCGGCCACTGATTGGCCTATTGTACCTGCCCTGGGTGATTATGATGATGGAGAATTTGGTGGAATGAAGATCGGCAGGGGAAACCGAAGTACTCGGAGAAAACCCACTCCAGTGCCACTTTGCCCACCATAAATCCCACTTGCCCAGACCCGGGTTTGAACCTGGGCCGCAGCAGTTGAAGTTATGTACTAAGTATCATGTGATATCAATTGAAAAGTTACACAGAATATTTAGCAAGAACTTTTTGTAAGGTTTTTTAAAGAGGAAGGAAGAGTTAACGTATATTCTGGGGAACAGAAAGATGTTCTTACAGGTCACAAAAACCTCCTTGTATGCTACATGCCACCAGTTGGACAGATTTATAAAAAATGCTGTCTTCTGGGATGGGTGGCGTGTAGATCTAGTGTAAACTGACGTTTCGGAGGAACATATCGCCTACATCTTCAGGGTATACATTCCTCCGAAATGTTGATTTACACGAGATCTACATGGTGCCACATCCCAGAAGCTGGCATTCTCTATAGTCACTGCTGTGGAGACCTTGAGTCTTATAGATTTATGGAAAGTTTGCATTGATTCAGTTTTTCTTTAAGTTCTTTTTCATCTTTTCTCCAGATGAACACATGATCTGCCAAGATTAATGTTTACATATCTGGTCTTCTCGCCTCTCCTCTCCTCTTCTCTTGCCCTGCCCTACCCTGTTAACAGTTTCATCTGTCATTGTGTTAAAGAAGACTGATAAGATGATAAGAAGATCCTTCCTTGTGTCCTCCTCTGCTTGCTTTTATATTTGTATTTGAATACATGCTCGCTGTCTTACTTTTCTTCCTTGTCTACTACTTGAAATATATTTCAGATTCCACGGAGTGTACTGGCCAGCTTTTCTGATTGCTGCAGGTCTGGAACCCCCTCGCTCCTTACTCTGTCACTCCCATTGGAAAGTTGACGGCAAGAAGATGTCCAAATCCAAAGGAAACATTATTGACCCTTTGGACTGTATTGTCAGATACACGGCTTCTGGTTTGCGTTACTTTCTGCTTCGGGAAGGTGTAGCACATAGTGATGGCAGTGAGTAATTCTCATATTTTTTGTATATTGTAGCGAATGGAATTGTTATTAAGAAAATAAACTATACTGAGGTGATAGAAAGAAGTACCATGGATGCAGGGGCTAATGATGCATGAGGCTTCCTTCCTTTCCGGCCCCCTCAACTTGACTCAAAGTGCATGCCACTTGCAAGGATTATTATGTGGTTAATTCTTAGAATTCATATGAACAGAATGGCTAATGACTGGAGGCGAAGCTTAACAGCACAAAGGAGATGTGGAGGCTGAGGTCAATCAATGGGACTCAGTTTAAGCTCCCCCTCCAAACAGCTTCTTCTGACTGGAATATTTGTGGCATACTCTGTTAACTGATTCTCTGGATTATTTTCCACTTTTCTTTTCCTCAACCTTCATCTTTACTGACTTTATTTACTTGTGATATTCTGCCCTGAAGCTGGAAGCAGTAGGATCCTGCAGTAGATTGATACCTGTCTACCAGACTACATGGCATAATATTCCAAAATATCAGAAGCCTTTTTTTATGTTTTCGTAACTGTTTCTCATTTGTGGTGTATGAAACTGTTGTATGTCCTGCTGATAAGCCCCTCTAATGATAACAAACACAAGAGTAACCATTTTATTCAAGAAATCATGGATACAGCAGTATAAACCTAAAATTACATACTGCAACCACAGAAAACTTCTTTTGTTCAAATGGATCATGTACTTATAAAACTGCTTGATTAAAAGACTGTTTGTTGGTTCTCAACCAATTTGTTGTGAATTTTTGCCAAATGTGCGTTTGGAAGGAAGAAAGATTTTATAAAATAAAATATATAGAATATAAAAGTGAAAAATTGTTATTGTCACATTATTTTGCATAATTCAGCATACATACCTGTATTTTAATAATTATGTACAGCATAACAATAAACATATATTTTCTTTAAGTTATACTTTGAATTGATATTTGAAGCAAAACTTCACCATTTTTTGGTTTTATGGTTATTTTAAATCTTTATACAATAAATGACATCATTCATAAATCTGGTGCATTATTATTATGAATGTCATTTTTATTTCTAGTGCAGTTCAAAATGAGTGAATATTCAGAATATGATGCACGCACCAGAAGGTTAAGAATTGCTGAGTTCATCTCCATATCAGAAAGTACTTGTACTTTAGTCAGAATTATAGAACTTAACAGTTTACTTATTTATATATGTTGTAATTACATCAAGGGCTATGATGAATTTGTTATGGGAAATTTATTAAATTATTATTTGTCTAAAACATCTTTGAGGGTATATAATGCCTTGAGCAGGCAACCTTGTGGAAGGAGTCCAGTGTGACAATTTTGTTCCCCATTGTATGTTGAAAATTGTTTCTAATGACTTTCAAATCATGAGGTAATAATCAGTGTCACTCTGTTGTTGACACGCCCTCAAAGATGTCTGGCACACACTACATGTTGTGGTTAGAAAGAAATTCCTTCATAGTTGCTCTTAATGTAGTCTGCTAAAGGAAAACAGAAAGTTATTTGTAAAATTATTGTTTAATATTTGGACAGACTACAGTGAAACAAAGGCAATTCGTATTCTCAACTCAGAACTTGCTGATAGCCTTGGAAACCTTCTAAACCGATGTTCAGGCAAAACAGTGAATCCAGATCAGATCTTCCCCAAGTTCTGCCAACACAGCTTCAGCATATACTGCAACTCTGATGAAGCTCTCAAACTTGTGGAGTCACTGTCTGCCTTACCAGGTAAGTGACCTCCCTATTGTATGCCTGCAGATTTTCAAATTTGTTGGTTATCCATATGTCTCTGTGGCCTTTTTATTGTTTTGAATATACCTACACATTTTCAGAAATGCAGAGACTTGGGAACTAAGTTTTCATCCTTTGTCTTTCTCTCGAACAACCAATGTGATGAATGGAATGGGGGTGGAAACAGGAAGGTCATGCAGTAGTCTCATGGTATTCATGCCTGTATGATTGCTAGGTGAAAAATAACTGCTTTTTGAATAACTCTTAAAATTATCTGGAACTTATTTAATGCATCGAGGCATCACTGTGCTGCAGCCAGCCTGGTAAATAATAGAACATTAGCCAGCAGGAATATGTATTCATAGGACTGTCATACTGAATGAGCAGTTTCATTATTTCAGTATTCCTAATTGGAATATATTGTCACGTGTATGGAGTGACTGTAGATGGGTTTTGGATTGATGATCTGATTTATTGGACTCTTTGATACAGCAAGTGACTACTCTTTACAGTTCTCTGTTACACACCTTAGTGTCCCCTGTCCCGTCTTCACTAGTCGTTTGGTAGCAGCTTCCAACTGTGGACATTCCCCTTCCTGTGAGATCCCAAACTGTCCCTGGCCTCAGCTACCAGCTTGTAACAGCAACAGCTCACAATGACTGAACCTCAGCAGTATTCTAACTCACTGACTAACTCACTCACTCACCAACAAACTAAATCAACTGAACTGACAGACTGATTGTCCTGCTGATGGCATTTCCGCATGGACCGCACAGAAAGCGCCATTCCTCTGTTGCCTAGTAATGGCCGTTGTGTAGTTGGTTGTTCCACGGTTGTTGCCTAGCAATGGATCTACATGCCACAATGTATTCCTAAGGTTTCAGTGGCTTTTCTGGTCAGTAGTCATATGTAAGATAATAGAGCATTGAGCAATGGTGGATAGAGGGTGTCTTCATAACATGGTCATGTTAAATAAACAGTTCTCTTTTTCAGTATATTTGACAGGTAAGCGGAAAATACTTTTGGTGAACATATATATATATATTGATAAGATACTGGTATCTGTATTCTGGCAGGAATATAAAACACTTCCATGATTTCAGTACTGTTTCTTTTTAAGAGAATCAGTACAAAATATATTGCTGCAGATCTTTGTGTGATGTTGTGACTCATTCAGTTTATAGTGAATTTTAAGGTGACTGGTTATGTGACAGTGTCATAGCTTCATCTCACCACCCTTTCAGAATGGTTACTTTGGTAGATGTATGAGTACATGCTAGGAATAGAGCACTGACTTATACTGTGGTCTTCTGGGTTATCACACCATTCAGTGTGGTTTGTGATTCCCAACATTTAAGAGCTTCTTCCCTGAAGACTGTGACAGGATGTTCTTCAAAACTGTTTCTGACTAAGTACAAGACTTCACAGTGTCATAATCCAGAAGACCAAGATGTGAATCCTTACCATCCAAAGCTAATAAACTTCATATAGAGCAACTCTTGATTGGATGTCTTACTGCTGCTTCATCAGTGCTTAACTGAGTATAGCAACTATACCGTTGATGTGAGCTTTGTTAGACATTATATCAGGCATGTCAGGGGTGATGAATCTGATACCAGCTGGTCTTGAATGAGGCAGATCTGTAACTGTATGGAAAACAGGAACCAAATAAATGTGTGCTCATTAAATGTAACTGCCACTTCCTAACAAGGGAATTATATGAGCCAGTGGGCATGAGAAAGCTTGTGTTTTGTAGACACTGTACAGAAATTTGGATACTCCAATATTTATGCACAGTGGGTTCAAGGGTGCTGAGATAAGAATGTAAAACAGTGCAGGAGGCCTTTTGTATGGAGCTGAGCACCTTGAGGCATGATTGTGTCACTGTAACAGTATATGTATTTTTTTAACTTCAGTCTTTTTTTTAAATTCAGAAGGCAGCTTGTGAATATTAGGGGTAGGTGTGCCATGAGTGTCTGAGTAGTGCATTTGGACTATAACAAAGCAGAATGCCACATTCAAAGAGCTTGATCTAACTGGAACATGAATGAAAATTTTTTTGATGACAGCGGACAACTTGAACACACTTCAGAGACACGGACCATTCTTCCCCATTCTGCCTACAGCCCACACCTTGCATCCTCATATTACCACCACTTTGGGGTTTAAAGAATGGATTACTTGGGCAACAGTAGAAAGATAATAGTGGCACAATAAAGAGCTACAACATTGTGACAAGAGATTTTGCAACTACATATGTAGTGTCCAGTTTATCTTTGTAAAAGTGTGTTACAGTAGATTGGAATGTTGTGAAAATATGGACGTCTTTTTGTTACATATTTAAGCACCTCCTCCTCAGAAATTGTTTTAATGGGTTTAATATTTCTTAAAAAGAAATGACACCCAACTTCTGTATTGAACCATTATTGTCCTAGAGTTATAGAGAAGTTGGTAATACTACTCATAATGTATAAACATTAACCACAGTCAAATTTATTTCAGTATGAAAATTTAAGGAAACCTCTATTTCTTTTCAGAGAGCAAAGTAGGAAAAATATCTTGAATTTGATGTTCTCACTGTGGTGGTTATGAAAAATTCTGTCTTCTGGGATATGAAGCTGTGTAGTCTGTTGAATATCAACTGACATTACAAAGTAACTTACTTCTTTCTACTTGCTGCTAGCTTCATGCTGACAGTTTGACCCTGGAGATTGAGGCAGTATGTTCCTCCACAATGTTGCTTGGCTTTCACTGAACAACATGGCACTACATCCCAGGAGGTAGAATATCTCTTCATAAATTGGGATAAATATGCAACATTTAACACAAGGACTGGATTGACGTTTTGTTATCCACTTATGAGAATAAGTTTTTAAAATGATATTGCAATTTGTTCATTACTTGTGCCTTTTAAGATGAATGTTGTAAAGATGCGACTGTTCTTGAAACTTAATGTACACTTGAAATGAATGAAGTTTATGAACAGTTGAAATTTATCTGTCTGTGACAGTGTACTTGACTGCCTCTGTGGTCTAGTTATCAGAGTTCCTCCCTACAGATCCAGAGGTCCAGGTTTGATACCCGGTGCTACCAGATTTTCTGGGAAGTAGTGGCTCTGGAACGGGGTCCACTCAGCCTCGTGAGGATAATGGAGGAGCTATTTCAAGGAAATAGTGGCTCTGGTCTAGAAAACCGAGATTAACAGCTGAGGGAATCCATTGCACTGTCCACGTGACACCCTCTACCTGCTAAAGTTGGCATTAACTTCGCCAACAAGCAGCAGTTGCTCGGTCAGTATAGTATGCTTGCAGTCTCGAGCCATGGAGTTTGTTTTGTTTGTGACAGTGTACTTGGTGAGATACTCTTCACAGATCTTGTCCCTTACTGACACAAGCTTTATTACTTTCAGATCTTGTAAAGGACCACTTTCTGGCATGTAATTTTTATAAAGGCATTGACTGTATTGTTGCAACACTCCACGCAGCAAATCGATTCTTTGAGTCTCAGAAGCCATGGGAGTTATGTAAGAAACACCAGTCACCCCACCAGAATGGTGTTCTGCACCTTACCATGGAGACTCTGCGAGTGTGTGGCATCTTACTGCAGCCCATAGTTCCTGAGCTGTCTGATACACTACTCAGAAAGATTGGAATATCTAAGGAGAAGCGCATGTGGAAAGACATTAGACCATTCAGTTGGGAACAAGGCAGGCTATGTAACGTCCCCATCAGTGCTGAGAAAATAATGCTTTACAAACGTATAATGGTCTCTAAGTCATAACAAATATGAAACCATCTGTGTGATATTGAAAGATGTATGTAGGTTTCTTTTTTTTTAATTTTAGTGGGGTGGGACTAAGTCCCTTGTACTGCGGCCACTTCTGGCCTATTGTAGCAGCCCCAGATGATAGGTGAGGGTGATTGTGGAGCAACTGGCGGAATGAAGATTGGCAGGGAAAACCGAAGTACTCGGAGAAAACCTGCCCCAGCGCCACTTTGTCCACCACAAATCCCACTTGATCAGACCTGGGATCTAACCCGGGCCGCCGCAGTGGGAAGCCAGCGACTAACCGCTTGAGCTATGGCGCAGCCTGTATGTAGGTTAGTCAATAAGTAAGTTACAAATGGATGTTGAACTTCAACAAATAAGAGTACTGATTTGAAAAAAGCTTTTATTTCTCAACATAATCTCCGTGTACATTGAGGCACTTGTCCCATCGTTTCACAAGCCCCTGAAAACCAGCAGCATAAAATTCTTTTGGCTGCTGTCGGAATCAGGTGGTGACTTCCCTTTCTGCAGCTTCATCATCGGGAAAATGTTCAGCTGAAAGATGATGTTTAAGAGGGCCAAACAAATGGAAGTCACTTGGAGCAAGGTCAGGGCTGTACAGTGGATGCTTGAAGACTTCCCACTTGAAATTTTGCAGCATTTCATTTGTCTTGTTGGCAGTATGGGGACACGCATTATCATGCAAGAGCAACGCACCTTTGGTGAGGAGTCCTGGTCTCTTCCGTTGAATGGCCTTACAAAGTTTCCTGAGTATGTTACAGTAGGAGTCGGCATTTATGTAAATATAATCTTTTGGCTGAACTTTTTTCTGATGATGAAGCTGTAGATAGGAAAGTCACTTTCTGATTCCTACAGCAGCCCAAAGAATTTTATGCTGCTGGTTTTCGGGGGCTTGTGTAAAGATGGGACAAGTGCCTCAGTGTACAGGGAGATTATGTTGAGAAATAAAAGCATTTTTCAAATCAGTACTCTTATTTGTTTAAGTTTTATATCCATTTGTAACTTACTTATTGGCTTACCCTCGTATCTTAGTGTCTCAGGTTACATAGTACTGAATGAGAGCTATGAGAGTCTTGGAATATTGTTGCAGGAGTGAAAACAAAAAAAAAATGTCTGGAAATGTGTTTATTTGTTTCTCCTTGTTTATGGTTTATGTAACAGTGCTATCAGTAGCTGAGATTAAATAGCATTAAATGATATGATGAATTGGAAAGTATATGGAAGGAAGCAGTTATGGCCTGTTTCCAGAATCCTATCCTGGCATTTTCTTGGAGGGGATGAAGAAGACAGTGAAATACCTCAGGATACTATGGGTCTCTCCCGAGATTTGAACCAGGCACCTCCTGAATATGAGTCAGAAGCACCTGCTTTAGCCAACATGCTTGGTCCCAGCACTATTGATTCCACTCAGAATATGAACTAAATGCCTAACAAATGATAGGCACTGTTGATAACATTACAATGTTGGAAGAAAATAGAGGACAATAATGCAGTCTACCAGTCCAACCTTTGCCCATTCTGTATGTATTACAGCTATGATTCATTGCCTTGTCTGTGCCACTTTACCCAGATATCTGCTTAATGTGACTCACAGGGAGATGGTAAAGTTTAACTTCTGGGGCATAGGGAAATGGAAGGCTATTTATCTTCCGGTAATCAGTTGTGTTAAGACTGTCAAAAACCTCTTGTGATAAGCAGGATGTGCCAACCACTCAGAGTACATGGGGATGGAAAGGAGTACAGAGTGATAGAAAGGTCTACCTCAATAGAATTATGGAGGGGTGAGTACATAGGGGATGGGATGGAGTACAGGGTGACAGAAGGTTTGATGATAATATCGCCGTCTCCATGTTAGGCCAAGAATCGTTAGTGGGAGGATGTGGTTTGTTTGTATGAAATCCATTATCAACTTACTCACTCTAATTAACCAGCAAGAGGCAGCTTCAACTCAAAAGGTGTGACTTGCTTGCAGACAAGTGCTGAATTTGGGGATACATATTTTTGAGTGAAGATTGAATGTTCTCATAACTGTGAACTTTGACAGAAACAGATGTAACTTCATATCCAGGCAAATTCTAAAATCTGTGTTTATAACTATTTCAAACTTAAGAATTCTGGACTGTATTGAACGATCATGAGTGTTAGCTAAAATTCACCATTAAACAGTGTAAATACAAACTCACAATTACTGCTTAACTAATTATTTATGACAAATAAATGAGTGAATGTAAATAATAATGAATTAATAATTTTTTCTCTATGGCTCTACAGCCCTTTGGACTTCGGCCACTTTTTTAGCTCTTAATCCTCTACACAGTCGGTAGGACTCCTTGGACAGGGGATCTGCCAGTCGCAAGGTCTCTGCATACACACAGAACAACACAAACACAAAATAAACACACATAAACATCCATGCCTCCAGTGGGGTTTGAACCCATGATACCAGTGTTCAAGTGGGCAAAGACGGTTCATGCCTTGGACCGCTCAGCCACTCTGATTGGCTGAATTAATAAATAGTGTGAACAGATTATTAGTGTTGTTCCTTTGGATTGTGATTCTTCCATCAAACTGAAAATTAGTGCAACCCCCACATCCAAAACCATTGTCAGTATATAAACACTCCATGTTACAAGTCATTTGACTTCCCTGAGTTTGTAGCTGAGATATGCATGTCAAGAGAAAGGAGTAAGTGATAGTGAAATCATCATTAAAGATTATCACTTTCTGGCTCCCAAATCAACTGGTTTTCCTATATTTCCTCACCAACTTGCTAACCTGTGAGTTCAATCTCATCACTAGAGGAGAAGACTGGAGTTGATCACCATCTACATGAGTAAGGTGACTGGTTACAGCAGATTATGAGTGTTATTCTAACATGTGAGCTACATTAATTGTACACACTAAAATCTGAACTCTCAAAAACGTTTATGTGTAGGTAAATATAAAAGCCATGAGACAAAAATAATTTAATTATGATGTCTTTAATTCTGTTTGTCCTCTCATTCTGTGCAATGTTCCTTCTGCCTAAACCAACTATGGAAGCAATGGCACCACTCTATGACTGTTCATTGTAATTAGGTGCATTATAATGAATATTTGATTGACGCTACTAAATTGTAAAGTATATATCATAAGATTGGATTAAGGAGATTGTTTTGCCTTAAGACCATAACGGTAGAATTTTGGAATTACAGAAGAACAGGTTTGATTTAGCTGTACCCGGAAGAGACTGTAGACAGATAAAGGTAGTAACTTAGAAATGCAGGTTAGTATAGTCATCACTACATTTCCCACCAAGTCCAGTATTGCTGGGTTGGATATGCGGACATACAGAGTAGCTAGGAACTACAATGAGGAGAGTATAGAATGTTGACTGAGCGGTGAATGCACGCTAAATACCTAGGGGTCAGTAGGCACCTGGGGTTATTGATAAAAATTTTAGGGCAGTTGACAGACTGTTAGATAATACATCACCAGAAGACCAGCTCAACAAGATGCCCTTATTACCATCCAAAGTAAGTGGAACCATGGTTGTTTTCAAACATATAAGACCTTGTTTTCTTAGTAACCTTTAGCATCAGGAGTGTCTGTGTATCCTCCACAAATTTTGAATGCCTCACCCAATTTTTATGAAACTTGGTATGTGTGTTATACTACCTGAGGCCATCTCATTTGCATATTTAAAAAATTTTTCCCATTACTGATGCCAGTACTGCAGCCTTTCATTTGTTGAGGTAATAACCTTAATGTTACATGAATACATGAACGGATTTTCATGAAACTTTGTATATTCATCATTCTACTCAAGATCATCTCAACTGCATACTTAATAAATCCTTCACATCAGTCACACCAACACTTCATCCTCTCAAATTCTATTGTTGTATATATTTGATTATACATACATACTAAGTTCTTTTCTGGTATCAAATATTGTTAGTTTTTAAAATTAGTGTCTGGATATGAATTTCTATTTTTAGTAGTATCATTACCCTGCATCTCCTGTCAGATGTACCTCTCTCGTTTAATATTGTGGAATGTCTGCTGAAAGTCAGAACTGTGAAGCCAGCAGAGACAGCCGTTGCTGGGGAACTGCTCTATAAACATGACCATTGATGGGCAATGGCTCAATAGCAGTCATGCGATGGCTGCAGCCGGCAGGCACACAACAATACAAGAACCATTGGAAGAGGAGTTTTCTGTGCGGTCCATGCTGAAGCTATTTCATGACCAACTGACATTACCTGTCAGTTGTAACGGAAGCTACTAGAAATAAGGCATAATCTGCTGTATTGAGCCTGGACTGACAGAGGCCCTGTATATATTTTATATACATTTATTAATATGTAAAATGTAAATACCTTTCACATTATGACAAATTACTTACTACTGCAGACAGGACAGACACATCCTCTCATCAAAGAGGGTGCCCCACAATAACAAGACTATAACTATTAAACAGTAATAAATATCTTGTCATGAGCCCCAGATTGGGCTCAACACCAAAACTTACTGACTGACTTACTGACCATCAGTTGCAATGTGACTTTGTCTTTGACTTGACCAGTCAATTGAGAGAGTCCTGAAACGGCAGAAGAGTAGCAGGTTGGTGCGAGATGGCTGCCGTCCTGCGAGGACATGAACCCATGAGCAGAGAATTGTCCACTGTTGTAAGATGTTACCAAACAGTGCAGTGAATACCATGATTAGTGTTTGTGTGGAGTTATTTGTTAAAATCTGATTACCAATCCAAACCCCATCTGTGGTCATTCTAACACATGGCAGTATGTACTAACATACTCTACTTTTAAAACTACTTTTCTGCAACTATCAGCCTTCATGAATGGGAATTGTTATCGAAAAGTTGAGACCCCCAGCTGGTCAAGATGCTGGTCAAGATGCTGTCCTTTATGTACTCTTCTGTTTATTACCATACTTATTGTGGCCTATAATTTATCCTGTCCTAAACTAGTTCAAGTCATTCTGTAATCTGACACCATGTTTAAGATCCAATTTAATATTACCCTCCTATTTACATCTGGGTAATCCTAATGGTTATTTCTTGCATGTTTACTGACTGAAGTTGTGTATACATTTCTTATGTGACCCTGGTGCCCTATGTGCCTCACCAATTCAATCCTCTGTAATTAATTATGGCAATATTTTGTGATGAGTACATATTATGAAGATCTTTGTTGCATAATTTTGTCCATCCTCATGTTATGTTCCTTTTTGCAGGTTCAAATATCCTAAAAATTTTGCTCTCAGACATCCATTATGTTAATGCCTTCAGATTGAGACACTGTTTCACAGCCATATATGACAACAGGTAAAATTATAATTTTCTGTGTTTTTAGTATTTTATATTTGTAGTTAGGAAATATAGTTCACTGAAATTTTACCGACGTTTTGGAGGAACATCTTCAGAGCTGAAGAGTGAGTTAAGCACTGTGAAGCAGGCAGGAGGGTTGTCATGTCTTCTGGCCTTCCTCTCGTCTGTTTTAAATATGGAGACTCCCTCTTTGTGGCTTCTGGTATAATTGAGAAACTATTCTGCTGAACCCTAAGTCCAATGCATAAACCAGGCAGCAAGCAGAGAGCTTTTATACTTGCTGCTGGCTTCATACTGGTTTCTTTCTTGGCTTGCTCTTCAAGTTTGATAATGGAGAAGGCATGTGCCTCCAAAACGCCAGTTGACTTTCAACGGACTACACCACATTATATCCCATAAAATAGGACTCTTCGATGAGACAGTTTTTGCCTATAAATGCTCATGAATATGATGTAAAGATGGTTAGGTTCTGCACTGACAAACATCATGTGGAACTTGTGTGAAAACATTTGAAGGGAGGCAGCTGGTATTGAGTCATTTCCTATTAATGTTATTTTTAGCTTCTCAAACTGTTCACTTGGACATGTAAAAGCAAATGATAAAGACAACTACCCAACGATCTGAAAGTCATGAATGGACTTCTTAATTATGATACACACTGGCTAGGAACTCTACATGCCGGTAAGAAAGTAACACTTGTAAAGTCATGAAATGACTGGCTCTTGGATGCCATGATGACACTTCCCCTTGGCTCAGCTGTGGATGTAGTGCTATAAATCCTCTGTATTGCAAGACCGCAGGACGGTCGAGTCCAGGATTGACTCGTCTCTGATGGCACTGAAGTCTATTGGAAACCGATTGACTTACTGACTGTAGCAATGATTGCTGATTTGCTCGCAACTGTGTGCCCACTCTTTGCTGCACTAAACTGGAAAACTACTCTTTATATTTGAAAATAAAATTCTAGTGTGTTTGCTGGCGACTTCGGCCTTCGCCGTCAGCTGAACGGCTTCCCGAGTTCCCGAACAATCTAGACTTTACGAGACGCGCGCAGTCCAGGCGACGCTATCCCCCTCGATTGCTCAGCTCCCGTCACAACATTTGAGAAAAACATGTGCCATATAGCAAGTATTTTGCACTGCAGTTAGACAACTTGAATATATTACAAAAGTAAGAATCATATAGGCGTAGTTTTAAATCGACCTTATCGATGTGCAAAACGTTCCCTTGCTAACTCAGTTCTGATATGACGTTTCGGCAAAATTCTTCTCATGCTCACAAATTATCTATGAATTTGCCCAACATATTTATAGTCCGATTCTTTTGAGATGTCGAGTAACTCTGAATTACGACAATATAACTATTTCTAACAGTTTTATCATTTTTCTGTCAGATTTTGGAGAGCCAGATACGAAAGAATTATTTCAGTAACGCGTAGGTTGTTGATTGTGACGGCGGCGAATCGTCATATCTTCTTCCTACTGTACGAATAGTGGAAGTAGTGGAGCAGTAACAGGAGCAAAACACAACACAGAACACGATACACAAATGTATGTAGGAAGAATGCTCACATAAAAGAGGATTGGCGTAATTCGCGTGTTTGAGTGCGACGTAGGATGAATCCTGGAAAGGTTTATTATTTAGAATTCATCGACATATATGACGAATACAGATGTTAGTCATTTTAGAATGAAGACATCATGGCATGCAATACAATAGTTCAACGTGCATAAAGACACCTGAGGATGGCACATTAGTGCTGAAACATGCAGTGTGGAAGTGAAGAATAAGGTGAAAAAGTGTATACACTGTAAGACGGTTAGCATAAACCATGGAAGTATACAAGAACTATCACTGTGCTTTACTTCTGTATTTATGGATAATTAAGTTTGAACATATTGGCAGTGGCAGGCTTCAAATTGCATATGATATGCAGAGACAACGTAACACACCAGAATGTGTGGGTGTGTAAGGGGAAATAAAGTAAATTTCCATGCATCACTGCCTCACGACTTAATAAAAGTGTAAGCTAATCTTCACACTCAAGACACCTTTACTCGACGTAGAAAACTTCTCGGCCGCCGTCTTACTGTGAATTCGAATTCCGGATGTTCGGCCATGTCACGTGATGACATCGCTGCTGTATAAATCGCGGTACCATAATCTTATCACTCCAGTACACCTTAACATGGCGAATTGGGTTGTGTTACATTTTTTGCCGGTGCTGCTTATGGTGCTCTTTTCCCGTGATGCAGGTAACCACATTTTTTTTTGTGTACTCTTCCCAAAATAAGCGTCATTTTCGTCACACGCAGGAAGCAGATTCTGCCACACGATATTCCAACATGTTTCTTACTCGTAAGTAGGTTCATTATTGACTGTTTTGGATGTAGGTGTTTACAGATCCTTGCCTGCCGCATCTTCCAGCCCGTTCGGACCGATCTAGAGGCAGAACTTTCAACACCGTACAACTGTGCATGCGATATTATTTGGGATTCGTACTTTATAGAAGTATGATATTAATCGAAATACGCACATTTTTGTGTTCAGAAAATTGTTTCGCATTCATAAAACACCTGCAAAAGATACACAAGTATCAAAAATTGGAACCCACCAAACCGATCAAATGCGAGAGTCAACAGAGAGTCTCTCAAACATTAGGGTACGAATATACACGATCCTAGGCTTCTTGTAACTAACTCCATACAACAGAAACTTGCAGTTACTCGCCTAATCAAGAAAGTCCACACCTCATGGAACCTGAAGATTCATTACCGTGTGCAATGAAATTGCCATTGTTTCTTTAGTCTTTTTCTCCTGACTTCCCTTTACCTCGTGTCCATTCACTCCGCCATTTTTCTCGCACTCACTCTACCTTGCATGACGATCTTGAAGAGCCAAACCTTCCTCACACTGTTATCTTTACGCCTATTGGTTTTCGGGATTGTAGTCCCGGCCCTTCTCTGTGTATTCGTTCCACTTACACCACGCTCGACTCAAGATTTCTTCCCTGAAAATGGAGACATATGGTTCCTCCGAAATATTGGTAACTACTATATAGCAGATTACACGACGTCAAATGACAAAAGAATGTAATTTTCATACTCATCGTCGCAAAGACTTTAAATCTTATAAGATGAAGTAGAACAAAAAAAAATCTCATTTTTCGGACCCACATACAATTTCAACGACATGTTTCTGTTGCTTTTTTGGGCGTAGACGCCTCATAAATTATTAATCAGGGAGTCTAAATCGTTCTGTGTTCATTCTGTACTAGATAATAAAGACTGTTAATAAGGAAGAAATGGGAAGGAAAATGCGCACTCAATTTTTATGAAATCGATCCAGAAAAACTGTATAAGAAATCAATGTTGTTGTTATGGTAAACTATTTCTGTAAATAGGCAGTGGAGTTTCATGCCCCTTGTTTTATGAGATCGGTATAATCGGTTCGTATCCCGTCCTTTAAATTATGCGGACAGTATTCACGAAAATTTAGTATGATATTAGAAAACAACTCAACGTCCTAAGTTTTCAGCTTCCTTAATCTACTATAACATCACGGCAGACGCACAAATTCGGAGCAACACTTGATATGGGGTTATGAAATGAAGTCCACTGAGAATAAATTTCAGTTTATATATTATTTGCTAATTTTATTTTTAGAAAATAATATAATTTTCTCTAAAAGAAATTAAAATGTGAATAAAACGAACGTTATTAAAGTCTGGCACGGTGGTAACAGATCTTAATAAAATATGAAACTGTTGTAGAGGTAATTTTATTTGTAGAATAAGAAACAACAACATGGCAACCGTAAAAATTGTAATTTAGATTTCAGTTTCAGAACTATAACTAATGGATTATTCAACATATAAATACTAAATCTTGCACGAAGATAGAATAAAAGCACCATTACAAATAACCTGTGAAATATTTTTATAAGTCAATAATTACAAACGTTGCAACTATGCGAAACTCCGAGGCCAGATTTAAACGAGGGCGAACGGGTCGATCGCCCCTGACTTCCAAGAAACAGAAATACAATGAACAGACTTTGTAGATACACTTTCTGCTTTAAATCACGAAAAGCTAGTTCGTATGTTTAGTTATTATAAACAATTTAAGAATATATAAGTTTTGAGGTTTTCACGGCGATGACTATGAAGAAAGTCGTCTTGTGGGATCTGGCGCCGTGTATTCNTTAAGAATATGTCGTAATCGAAATATGATTTTATTGAAAGGGCCTGGACATTCTCATTGCTCCGCAGCTTCCGCAACTGTAAATTCGGCCCTCGGCATACCTGATAAATAGGTAGCTAGGAACATGAAACATTGCACGACGTATCTACAGGCATACCTACAGAGTATGTAACAAAATATTCCTTAGATGCATATAATTACTGTATAATATGGCGACAATGCGAAATTTCATGGTTGTACCCTAAAGATCATCATCATCATCAGTAATCTATCAGACGACAGGTCCACAGTCTCTTCCAAAACAATTCCTCCACTTATTGCGATCTAGAGCTTTCTCCTTCAAATGACAGTATCCTCTTCTGTCCCCAAGGTCATCCAGCATCTTCTTACGTCTTCTTCCTCGTCTTCTTGTCACTTCTATCCGCCCCTCTATCTTTCCTTCAATAACTTCTTTCATAAGGCAGTTTCTGCGTAAAACATGACCAATCCAATTAGCCTTCCGTTTTCTTATTTCGTGTAGGGTATTCCTCTGCTCACTGACTCTAATTAACACTTTATAATGTATAAATAGTCTTTATCTAACAATCATTAACGAGAAACAAAAAATAGTAACAATAATCTGTATAACATAGAGCCTAGCGTTGCGATTGAGTGGCTAACGATCCTTATTTTATGCCGGAGATTTCACATTGAAACCTGTGTCCGGACATCGGCCATGCTGATCGGCGTTCATCTTTGTTTTCCTCTTCCCAGGATAGTGTCTTGTTGGTACCTTAAATTTCGCCGCAACTCATTTCTTACAGATCTTTTCCGATTCATGTATCGCTGTTCATCCCACCATTCGATTCTAGAATATCTGAGCAAGTGAAAATGTTGTTAAATGAACCACAAGCAAATACGCTACATGTTTATGAATGTAAGCAACAGCGGAAGCCCGAATGGGGTGGAATTCTATGCAATGGCCTAGCAGGCCAACCCGTTAGCTGAATTGCAGCTTAGTTTTCGATTATGAACCTGAGTTACCTAAATGCAGTGTAACATTAACAGTTCAGGATTTATAGGGCTGGAAATCTATGCAGTATGAAAGTACAAGTTATTAATTCTGCCATGAACTTCTTAATATGTGCTGTTCTCTGGCACGTTGTGCAAAGAACGTATATAGAAATGGTGACATCTGTCCGTCCATCTATCCTCTGTCCTTATGTGCCTACTCGAGAATCGCTGGTCGGATTTGGGCGAAATTCGATTAGAAAATTACGCCATTTTAGGCAACCTCAAACTCTTAGTTTTTAATTTCCTGCAATGACAATAGCAACATGGCGGACGCGCGAATTTGTGGGGTGTTTGCTGTGCTAGCAAAACTACGGACTGGGGTAGCCATCATAACTATAGGAAGCATTGATATTGTCCTAGTAAAAGGTAAAAAAGGTAAAGTCCCCGTGCTTAACTATTTAAGCACTACGCCATGAAGTCGTATGGGGGAGTGGATGTGTAGATCCACATTTTCTTGACCTCGACACTAGTTAGAGGTGACTGGTCAGTTTCACGCCCCGGCCGCTTTACCCCCGGGGAAATAGCTCCCAATATCCGTGGGATAAAAGGATAGTTGGGCCCCAGAGCTGGTCTGGAAGACGTTGATTATTGTCCTAGTAAGGACAGGAATCGTGGTAACTATAGTGACCATTGTAATAATGGAAACTAAGATCACCAGAATAACGAAATTTAAAGCTTTACGAAATGTACATACTACCGAATGTAAATTCGAAACGAGAAAGTGGCAAGGAACACGTATGGAAACAGTATTGAATGCACTTTTAATCTCATTTTAACTTGGAAGCGACAGGTTCTAGAACTCGGAGGTTTTCTCTGCTACCGCAAAAGCCCGGCATGGAATCCTGTCTTTAAGAAGTTTAACTCAGTTTGAATTTTCGAACTTGATGCATATCTTTCTACAAACGGATGCCTGTATAAATTGTGCTTCTTTGCCTTTGGCTCTTGTCAGTCATGACCCCACACTCAGGTAAACAAGATGCTTCTTTTTTGAGCGCATCTTCCCTGTCTTGCAACATCCGGGGCTTGGCATTGATTTTACCTATCTTATCAGTTCCTTCATGAGCTATTTATTTTGAATCGCATCCGAGGATAACAGTATTTTCTTCCAACATACGGTTCTATCGATTCTACACTTCAGCGAATTTATTATTATTGGTATTATTATTTTGTTGTATCCCTGTAACAGGCCGTGAAGGCCCATAAGGTTCTAAGATGTCGAGGCTCCCACATTTTCTAGATAATCGGCTCACAGATGGTGGGTAGGTTGTCAGCCTTACACGCCGTATGCCTTTCACCCCCCAGGAAGACTCCTGGTACTCATTTCTGTTAGAGGCTGAGCCGACCCCAGGGCTATAGTGTGGCTGGAAGGATTAGGTAAATTGAAAAAATCCAGCGACATCGGGTTTTGAACCCGTGACCTTCTGGTTTATAGTATAGTGCCACAACCAGCTATGCTACTGTGTGCCACCATTATTATTTATATTATTATTATTATTATTATTATTATTATTATTATT